GTCACATCTACCTATATGTATCGCAAATCCCTCACACTTGAACTGCTTCTAGCCTAACTTACCTTCGGGAATGTTTCTATCAACCGCACGTAACATATCCTTGATAGCTGAACTATCAACTGAACTAACGGCAAATAATTCTAGTTTCTGCGCTACATTTTTAACCAATTAGAACAATTATCTCAGTTGAAATTGTTATGCGGGCACGCGATCTATCGATCTCTGCGGCTTGACATGACATTTCGAAGTCGATGCGATGCGGCCTCCGCGTGGTATACTTAATGCCAGAGTCTTCGCCTTCGCCTTCGCATTCGCCTTCGATGGTGCCTCCGTTGGTGTTCTGGCCCTGTTATGGCTGTCACGGCGTGAACTTTGAACTGTGCGCTAGGCATTGTGTGCTCGAGCCGTGGCACTTGGAGAAAGTTAGATATTTGCCGTGTTTTGCTGTTGCGTTACGACCGCACAAAAAGTCGTAAAACCAGTTGATGCAATTTTCCAGTGCGAAAATTAACAAATACACACACACACGCATGCACACACACACACACATTCAGTTTGCGCTCGAGAATTCAATTTGTGCAGAGAAAACGGAATCCCAGTGGGTGGCGGCATTGGGGGCGTCTGGGGGCGGCTGCATCGTCTGTTTACTTGAGGTTTTTTAACGTTGAGGCCCGGCCGGAAGGAAGTGCAAGCGAATAAACCGAGCACAGCACAAATACGTCCCGCAGGTGTGTGTATGTGTGTGTGTGTGCAGGTGGGAACTGGGCTGGATTTGGCTGGCATTGCCACAAGAAAGTGGCTCTCAGGTGGTGCAGTAGCTTTTTCTATATATATATATATATATATATATACACATATATGTATATACTCTTCTTTTTTTTGCATTGGCAAAATTGGCACAAGCGGATGCGACCGACGTTTGCCCCACAACATGGACTGGCCCGCTCCGCCACGCCCGCTCGCTCGCCGGTACGGTGCATATTTATTAGGAAATTTAATTTCACATGGAAAAACGTCAAGAGCGCTGCACTCGGAGAAATGGTTCACGAGTCGGAACTAATATGCTAAAAACTGAAAAACTGAGCAACAGCAGCAGCAGCAGCAGAGGCCGAGGCAGAGACAGAGGCAGCAACAGCAGCAGCAGCAGCATCAGCTGGCATGAAGGATGCCACCGAAAGTGGCACTTGCAACCCTTTTGGCAGGCACTCAGCAGACGCCAAAGATATAGCTGCAGATACATAATCTGCTGCAGATACAGATACAGATACAGATACAACTATAGCTATACAGCTGCAGGCAGCTATATGCCATCCACATGCTCGTAGACCATAAGCAAACACAAATGATGGCAATCTGTTAGTCTACCCAGCCCCGCTGCGGCCCCCTGCCCCACTTAGCCATCCACCGAACTGCTCACACTCCGGGGAACAGTCAACGTCTCTGCACAATGCTGGCCAAATTTATATTATTAATGCCTGTTTATCTACATGCGACGATGTCGCCACCATAGATACGCTGCTAACAACCACGTGCCAGCCACCCACCACCCACCACCCGACCCAGCCCTCCCCCGCTCAGCCAGCCCGTTACCTTCCTCTATCCCTTAACACCAGCAGCATTGTCTGTTGTCTTTGTTTTCGCTGCTTTATGAGCTTCGATTAATATCCGCGTAAACAACGCGAGGTCACAACACACAAACACACAGATGCACACACACACAGATGCACACATACATATACATATAGATGTTATTTATATGCAGAAGGTTGGAAAACTTAACAATAACCAGTTAAACTAATAACTGCTGTCGGAATCGACATTATCTTATATCTAATATCTAATATCTTATATCTTATATCTTATATCTTATATCTTATATCTTATATCTTATATCTTATATCTTATATCTTATATCTTATATCTTATATCTTATATCTTATATCTTATATCTTATATCTTATATCTTATATCTTATATCTTATATCTTATATCTTATATCTTATATCTTATATCTTATATCTTATATCTTATATCTTATATCTTATATCTTATATCTTATATCTTATATCTTATATCTTATATCTTATATCTTATATCTTATATCTTATATCTTATATCTTATATCTTATATCTTATATCTTATATCTTATATCTTATATCTTATATCTTATATCTTATATCTTATATCTTATATCTTATATCTTATATCTTATATCTTATATCTTATATCTTATATCTTATATCTTATATCTTATATCTTATATCTTATATCTTATATCTTATATCTTATATCTTATATCTTATATCTTATATCTTATATCTTATATCTTATATCTTATATCTTATATCTTATATCTTATATCTTATATCTTATATCTTATATCTTATATCTTATATCTTATATCTTATATCTTATATCTTATATCTTATATCTTATATCTTATATCTTATATCTTATATCTTATATCTTATATCTTATATCTTATATCTTATATCTTATATCTTATATCTTATATCTTATATCTTATATCTTATATCTTATATCTTATATCTTATATCTTATATCTTATATCTTATATCTTATATCTTCATTTTGCATTCACTTCCATTAATTATGTTCCGCTTCAATTCAACTTTGGAAGCAAAAGGTATTCGATTTGGTCACTCGATGCTTGATAATTAATCTATTGTCCTATTGCCTCCTTTGTCTGTCAACGCATTTAGTTACTGGCCAAGTTAAGCATAATTATTTGCATAATAGCCATCATAAGCCGACTGCAGTCGTGCAGCTCATTCAATGCGCCTGCATCTCCGACTCAATATACTCAATGTATATATGAATGTATATTTATATTTATATTAACATGCATATGCTTATCATGTTCAGCATGCGATTACAGACATTAGCTCAACGCTCATGATTACATCACATGATTACTTGTAGTTGAGGCTGGGCTGACTCAACGCATCATTCACAATGCCAAGCAAAATGGATTCGGTTCAGTATTTAGCTATTGTTTGACTCATACTCATTCTGTAAGCTCTGGGCTTTTACGCCCATGCGCATTCGCATTCGCATTCGCATTCGCATTCGCATTGGAACCTCAGCAATTAGTGAGCTTAATTAGTAGATAAAGTTATTACTAAAACCTCGATAAGGCCCGCTAGCGGAATGCAATGCAAAGAGCAACAAAATGTTCTGCACTCGAAGATACCCTGCCAATGAAATTACTACGTATTTAAGCGAATTTTAATAGAAAATAGTTTCAGCGTGCGAGAGCAAAATATATGTGGAATATTTCAGCTGTTGGCGTAGGTCGAGCATTTGTCATATGTATGTATATACAATATTTCTTATTTATATTTATTTTTATATTTATATATAGCTATACTTATAGTCGCATACGTATGCTCAAGTTCATGTCGCTTTTCTGATTCATTTTTACGACCAGAACGCAACACAACCTTGAAATTAAATTTTACAAGCAAACAACAAAAAAGTTGATGGAAAAAATAAACAATTTAAAACATTTTGCCACGACGAACTGCGAAATGCTCTCAAATTAGTATTTTCGCTATTCAATTGACTCAAAAATCAAAAATATTAAATTGAAATTAAATTGTATATGTACATATACATAGATATGTCTAAAGATACAAAAAATAAATAAAAACAAAGAAATAGGGGAATGAAAAATAAAGAAACATAAAATTAACAAAAATTATATAATATACAGATATATGTATATATATAATAAATATACACATAAATACAACATTCTCTGACTTAATATGATGCATATAATTATATCAACAAATATATATATATTTGTACATATATCTGAACAGCAACTAAACGAACTAAAAAATGTTCACAGAAAAAGCATAAAAAGTAAGAAAAAAAATATATATTGGAAAAAATCTGAAAATATAAAAAATCATAAAAATATTCAATTAGCAAAAAAAAAAAAATATATATTTTTATGTATAGATATGATATATATTATTCTCAAAATTAATTTGAAAATAAAAAACCATAAAAATGAGCCAAAACAAATTGTATACAATACCTTATATTATATACATATTTATATTTATATCTAAAATTGAATTAAAAACTAAATTAACTAACAAAATGCTGCAAAAAACTGATACAAAATCGCCGTAAATAAATAATATATATTATGGGTATATAAAAATTAACTACAATATTTTCTCAGATTTAAAAAGGGCATATTAAAATTAGCCAATAATAATAATATTATAATTAGATATTAATTTTATATACAAATAAAATAATATAATAAAAAAATGTATATATATATCTTATACATATAAAATAATAAATGCCAATATCTATATTGAGATATAGATCTTTAGCTTTCTCACGCTCCCTCTCACTCTACTATATATTCACTCTCTCTTTCTGTAGGAATTTATCGTATTTTATTGCTCGCCTTTTGCAAGAACACCTTTACAAAAATTGGCAAATAACGCTCGGCTGCCGAATCGAGCTATAAACTTATATATAGACGCGTAAACAAAAACAACGGAAAACATGTTTATTCTATTATGATAGCTTGTCTAAATATATGTGAGTTCATAATCAAATAGCAAAACATACGCAGCCGCGGCCAGATTAAGAGATCTTGATAAACAAAACTGAGCCAATAAACCAATACAAATATTGCAAAAAAAAAAAAAAAAAAAAAAAAAAAGAAGCATGCAAACACACACACACACACTAGGTGGGGGAAAAGCTTTGGTAAACGTTCTTATCGACTGATCGATAATGAGTGGGCGACCGGCGGCAGTGAAGGAAGTGCATTATGTGTGTGGCTAGACTGTGGCCGGGAGCTTTTCTGGCGCAAGGGGTCGGCCGACGTGACCAGCCGCACATAGAGCGCGAAAGCTCTACGACATCGGCGACGTCACTGCCAAGGCCTGGAGCGCTTCCCGCTGGGTCGGGCCGGCGCTATATAAAGCGTCATGCAGGGCGAGCGTCCCGCGCATATTGCAAATACTAATATCTTCAGTCGGGTCGGCTAGCTCGAGTTGTTGCTAAAAAAAAAAATACACACACACACACACACACAAACACAGTATGTGGTCCAAGATTGCCATTGTCGGCGCCCTGACCATGATGGGCGGTGTGCTCTACTCGAGCGTTGTGGACAACTTTGCGTATGTGGATCGATCCCTGGACGTGGCCATGCCCAGGGCGAGGCGTCATGTGGAGCAGCCATCGGAGTAATCGACGCATGAGGGGAGTGGGATGGGGATGATGGTAGTCAAGTGAAGTGAAGTGGAGTGAAGTGAAGTGAAGTGCTTGGCCAGTGGATTCGCTTGCAACTAGTTCACTCCGTGTTGTTGTTGCAACCAAATGAACTAGTTCATTAAGTCCTCCAACAGCAGCAGCGTTGCCATCTACTCTCGGCTTGTGTTTGTACAGTCCACATGCATGAACCACAAGCGCGAACCAGCTGCAAATGAACAAGTTCTTCACAGTGCCAAGACGAACAATAGTCACAACATCAAGAAAAGCAGTTCGAGCTTTAAATTAAATAAACTTTAAGTTAACCACTTTTTTTTCAATGTTTTTTTTTTCCGTTTAGTATTTAACTTTGGCTAAGTTCCTACGCTATAAACAATATTATATTATGTGCATGCTGTAGATAGTTATTAAAAAAATAAAAAAAAATAAAACAAAAATTCGTATTTGTTTTATGAATTAGAGAGGAATGCGTTGCCGAGGTGGTGCTAAATAGATAAATAGCTAAAATTCATATAAAAAAAATAATACTAATAACAAAAAAATATGAAAATAAATATAAAAAATAAATAATGAAATAGCTAAAAATAAATATACAAAAGTAATAGCTAAATAGAGAGAAAAAAGAAACAAAATAATAAATAAATAAAAATGTATATATAATAAATAGCTCAAATAAATATAAGAAATAACTACCTAAATAGCTTAAATAAATATAAAAAAGATAAACAGCTAAATATAAATATTAAAAACCAATAGATAACCCCAAAATATAAATCCAATAATAAATGGCCCAATAAATAAAAAAAAAGAAGCTAAAAGAAATATAATAAATTACTAGCTAATTAGTTTAAATAAAAAAATAAAAATAAATAAATAATAAAATACAAAATAAATCACTAAACAACTTAAAATAAATACAAGAAATTAATAGCTAAACAGCTAAATTTAAATATAAAAAAATCAGCAAATTACTAACTTAACAGCTAAAAGAAATATAAGAAAGAACTAGCTAATTAGTTAAAATAAATATGAATATAAAAAGCTTAAAGAAATATAAAAAAAAAACTAAAGAAATATTAGCTACAGCTAAAAGAAGCATAAATTTAAATTAATAGCTACCTAGCTAAAATAAGTATAAGAAAAATAATATAAAATATATAAAATATAAAATATTGCGTCCAATAGAGCTGGATGTCATATTAGTTGAATTAGTTGAATGACAACATTACCGTATACTATATAACAGTTGGTTGGAGATAGTTAGTTTCATATCTCGATGATTTTACCCTTAGAGAATATTTGCTGCATTACAATAGATGATATATCATATACATATATCATTGTATCATCGGGGTTTGCTGACTAGGAAAAAAATACACCAAATTAAACTTGTGATTTATCGATAAATAAGAAAGGTTATCGAAACCACAAATTACAGATTTGGACCATATATTAGTTTTAAGTTTTAAGTCTAAAATTCTTGTGGTTTACGAAATCGTGGCTTTGATAAAATGGACGACGGATTGACAGACGGATGGTCGAACGATAGTGCCAAGTCACCTGCTGCCTCATATGAACATATGTATATACATATGTACATTCTCAGACATCGATAATACCAATATAAACTCAAAGTTTAAATGGGGGTTCAGGGTACAAAAGGAAAGTTTAGCTAAATAGATTGCAAAAATAGTTAGCAAGCATATGTATATATAATACATATACATACATTCACATATATATACAAATATATATATATATTGGAAAAGGCATTAGGAAATGAACAACTGAGTCGCAGCGAAACATGACGTAAGCTCATCAATGTGACAACAACAACAAAAACAAAAAAGAGAAAGAAAAATACGTTGCGAATTATTGTTATCATGCGAACATATGTTTATATAGTAGAAGTATATTTGAGCTAAATTGAAGTACTTTTAGATTAACTTTGTTGGCAAATGTGTGTGTGTGTGTGTGTGTGTGTGTCTGGGTGCGTGTGTGAGCGTAAAATGCCATTAAATCAAAAGCTGCTCCCATCAACAATCATATTTACTTTGGTTTCTCAAAACTCATTTAGGGCTGGCCTGGTGGCTCGACTGGACTGAACCGAACCGAGCCGAGCCGCATCAAATGGAGCGGCCGCGAGAGGGGGTGGGGGTTGGGGTGATGGAGCTTAGGACTGACGGGCTGCCAAAATCTGTGGGCGCACTAAAAATGACTGGCAAGCCGCAAATACTTTGTCAGGATCAAGTTGACACTCGTTGCCTATAGGATCCCCAGCCCCCACTCCAGCTCCAGCTCCTGCTACGGCTCCTGCCATAGCTGCCGGGCCTTTCCCTGGCTGTATGGCGGGCTTGTGTGTGCTGCAGGTCTCTTCTGTGCATGGCCGTTCGCATTTGACACTCTTTTTTTTTTTGTTTTTGTTTTTGACAAACACACACACACACACACATACAGAGAAATGAATAGACACAGCCACACGCAGACAGTAGCCAGTGTGGCCTCAGGCCAGCTTTGCAGCCAACATGCGTGTGCGGAGGCATTTTGGCAGAACAGATTGTTGAAGATTTGATTTTGGGCTGCCACCCAGCGGCCGGCACAATCGTTAATCTAATGAAAGATGACGTACACTGAGCGACAAATTTTGGACTCTAGCTAGCCCACACCCTGCCACACTCTTCCACTCTCTCTCTCTCTCTCTCTCCCTGTCTCTTTCTGTTCTGTTGATGTTACTTCATCCGATTTGCTCTGTTTGCTAATCATTCATCATGGCTCGCCAGAGTCGAGTCGCCAAGTAAAACAAGCTGAGGGGGGAATGGGGAAGGTGAGGGAGGCTGGCCGGTCAGTATTGATAGTTGGCCTAGGTGCCTAGGTGCCTGGTGCTTGGCGCCTGGGCAAAGTTCAATCGCTTGTCTCGTGTCGGCTTACCGTAGTCGCTGCTCGCAAATTCTCACTAAAATTTGCAACTTAACGAGTTGTGGCGAGTCCTGGTCACGCCCACAGCCGGGCCACTTGTCGCGAGTGGGCCAATAAAATTTGATTAGCCCCGGGGCCGCAGCGGCAAAATCCTTTAGGTCTCAAGATTGCAGCTGGCCAAAAAGGGCCACAAGGGCCGAAAGGGCCGAAAGGCCGCAGCAATATGAGAATTTATGTATGTTTGCCTCACTGTTTCGGCATTTGCTTACCACCACCCACCCACACACACCCACATACACGCAGAGTCGTAGTGGAAGCGTGGAAGAGAGACGGCGCTAACTATTGTATATTCATGGGGCCAGTTGGCAACTTGGCCAGGCCGGCAGGACACCGAAACGTGGCCCGAGGCCGAGCTGGCCAACTTGGGTTAATTTACATTATAAACTTTGAATATTTTATTGTTTGTCTAGGAAAGGACACAGCTGCCGGCAAAGCAGATCGTGAATTCTGCTACCAGCCACTGTCTGTGTGAGTGTGTGTCTGTCTGTGTGAGTGTGTGTCTGTGTGTGTGTGTGTGTGTGTGAGTGGGGGTGCTCATGACCAGACTGCGGCTACAACTGCCAGTTAAGACCACATTTATTGACACTTGGCAATACACAGAGATGGAGAGATAGAGAGTGAGAGAGTGGTGGCAGAGAGTGGGGGCAGAGAGCATGCGGTCAGCCTCCTGCTGAACGGCCTGAGCTCAACATGCGGCACTGTGGTCAGGGGGAGCCAACAGAGTCTCGTTGCTTCGATTTAATGACGGCATAAACATTTTTGTGCAAATTATGAGACAGTTGTCCCTTTCCAAATGCGCACCTGGCCAGCTGCCAGCTACACCTGTGCTGCTGCCATCATTAGCATTAACATTAACATCGACATTGTTATTGGCGCTGCTTGTTAAGCTTTTAAGCATCGGGTTACTAAATAATTAAACTATTTCCAGCTGCCAGCTCGTAAACCAAATCAACCGCAGTTTTCTGTCGCTGCCAGCCCCCAAAGGTGGGGCACTCACAGGAGCAAGGCTAAGGGTAAGGCTAATGCGGACACAAGCAGCTGATAATTGGAAATTGAAAACTGATATGAAAATGGAAGTGCTAACAGTAAGCAGCAGAGCTCTTCTTAGCTTCATTTGCGTATAAAAAGTAGAGAGAGAGAGAGAGAGAGAGAATGAGGTGAAAAGTGAAAAGGTGAATGGCTTGCCAGACTAATTGGTTGATGGATAAAGCTAATAGAACTTTTTTATGTGCTAGTTCAATATTGAAGGATTCCACTTTTAGGAAAACAAAGTGAGCTTTCGTAATATCGTGCTGAACAAACATATTTTATTAATGAACGAAGCCTTAGAAATACATGTAGGCTGTATGAGCATATTTACATGCATCTATTATATGACTATGGCTTCGATACTAGACTGAAGCGCTTCAGTTCAGTGAAAATGATTGAGCTATTTCTCAGCTTGCCTGCAGCTCTTTACATTGATTAATATTTAATATTGAGTTTCTTTAGACTCATATATTTTTGTTTACATATATGCACATATTGCTTTTTGAGTTTCTCGGAATTTGATAGCCTTCCATTCTAGTTTAATAATTGAGTTTAATTTTGCCCAAAGAGCAATTCCCGCTATGCTTCGTATGAGCTTTCAGAATGTTCAACTCAAGTCGCCTTCTCTTCGTTTATTGGCAATCGAACCGAGCCTGTGCGAGCCGATCAAGCAGCCATTTCGCTCTCACACAGCAATAGCTGAGGGTGCGTCCAGCAGCACCTATCGTTGTCTCGCTCTCTCAAACTAATACGCACGCTCACGCGGTTAAATTGTTTTACAACAACTCAGTGCAAGCTCTCTGCCTTGCACTAATACTAATGCAACAATGGCAGCCAATTGCAACGAATTCAACAGCTTCCATTACTGTACACACATATACACATGTACAATATCAAATATATGTAAATATAATTGCTTTCTCTCTCTTATAAAAGCACTCAAAGGGAGTAAACGATCTGTTTAACTCTTTACTCCTAGGCAAAACTGAATTGAATGGAAGGAAGTATTTGACAGGCCTAGTATTCCAGTGAGTGTTTCAGGGAATTTATCTGTGTTATTCAAATAAGTGAATTGAGTAAGAGAAGAATAAAAAGAAAAAAGAAGCAGCACAAGAAGTCATATTTATGCTAGAGTTATATTACAATTATTGCTGCTTAGCCTCAACTTTGTCTATTTGGCAGCGGCTTTTGTCTCAAATCTCTTGGCTAGGTGCAAATTCTATTTTATGCGTTTGCTACGTTTCGCTGTCGCCGTCGCAGTCAACGTCGCAGTCGCAGTCGCGTGGCAATCAACTGAGGCACCCTTTCG